GGGGAGGGAGGGGAAGGGGGAAGGGGGAAGGGAAAGGAAGAACATAGCACATGTGAAAGAAGGCCCTGGATTTGATTTCTAGCGCCACCAAAAACAAAAAAGGTAGACTGAAGAAGCCTAGGCATCAGTCAAGGTATACACTTGTAATCCTAGCACTAGGGAGACTGAGACAAAAGGATTTCAGAAAGTTCAAAACCAACCTGGGCTACACAGTGAGACCTTATTTACAAAAAAAAAAAAAAAAAAGTCAGGACTGCCAGAGACACCAATAACAAGGTACCAAATTGGCATTAATTACAGTGTGTGAGTTATAAGTTACACGTTATTCTATGTTAATAAATCATTATGATGTGAGGCTTTTGGTCATGTGATATAGACAAGCACACATCTGAAGAATAAGAGCAAAACAACAAAAACTGTATTGTTTCAAACTGGCATTTACTTCATATTCTATGTTCCTATATGTCAATTCCTAGTTCTGTTTTATTTCCAACTTAAAAGAACAAAACTGAGACTAAAATTATCTATCATTTTAATGAATAAGTAATCCTTTAATAACATATTAACTACAAAAATAAGATATATATGCTCAATAAGAATATTTCAAATATAAAGTTCAATATAAAAACCAAAGCCTTATCTGAAAAAAGTATATGGGAGTTCAGATTTCTTTTAGCATGATTTCAGGTTCTTAGGTTGCCTTACGCCAGTAACCCAAAACTCAAAATCCAGATAAGCTCTTCTAGAGCTAAGAGAATTACATCTTCTTTTAAAAGATTAGGTTTTTTTTAAAAATAGTTATTTTTTCCTTCAAAATAGCTAGAAATCTATTCGCCTACCCTGCCCCAGATTAGTGATGATGATTATGATGATGGTAGCTGCTACCCAACATCCATTATTCTTAATTATGATCATCTGCTATCCTAAATATCTAGGATATCTGCTATCCAGAATAGCCATTATCCTAGAAAACAGGCCTTATTTTAGTATCATCTTACAAGGAAGACAACTAAGTTTCATGGAGGTCAACTACACAGGCCAAGGTCAGAAAGATACTCAGGAGCCACAAACTGCACCAGTTTTATATGACACCAAAGCCACAGTGCTTCTAGTTACATTGTTACTGTCTCCACAAAAAAGCTGTTTTGAGGATGAGAATCACAGCATGTTACAGAGCTGCAAACAGAAAGTGCTTCAGTATCCAATTATTCCTTAAAAAAATCAGACTACACACACACACACACACACACACACACACATGAGCCACAAACTGCACCAGTTTTATATGACACCAAAGCCACAGTGCTTCTAGTTACATTGTTACTGTCTCCACAAAAAAGCTGTTTTGAGGATGAGAATCACAGCATGTTACAGAGCTGCAAACAGAAAGTGCTTCAGTATCCAATTATTCCTTAAAAAAATCAGACTACACACACACACACACACACACACACACACATATATATCAGTAAGCTGTTTTGAGGATGAGAATCACAGCATGTTACAGAGCTGCAAACAGAAAGTGCTTCAGTATTCAATTATTCCTTAAAAAAATCAGACTACACACACACACACACACACACACACACACACATATATCAGGTTACTATTCTAAATATGATAGGATAATAAACACAAGGTACTGAGTTCGATCTCTGGTACCAACCCTCCCCCACAAAAAAAGATAAGGCAATAAATGGTTTTGCTTCTTTAGGCATTTAAAATAGTTACAAGCAAAATGCAAAATAAACTTCAGTAGAAAATTAGCTTATAATTCAAAATATTAATATAATAAAAAATAGAACAAAATATATTTACCCCTTACTTGGAGAGGATCCTGCTTTAGTGGAGCTTTGAGTTCTGCACCTATATTTTCTGCTGCAAAATTTATTAAAACAAATTTATATTAGAGTTGCTTTCATACTAACTCACAAGCTTAATATTAGCCAATTTTATCTATAAATGTATAAAAAAGAATATATTATAGTTCATATTGGATTTATCCTATGATTGTAAGAGTAATTAAATATTATAAGAGCAACTTATTCCCCTCACTAACAGATTAAAGGAGAAAAACTACAGCATCATTTCAGGAGCTATAAAGAAAAACCACTTAATAAAATACAACAGCCATGAAAATGTCAAACCCTTTTAAAAAATTAGGACACAAAGGAATTTCTTTAAAGGATAAAACAAATCTGTAATAAATATTGTATTCAAGTTTAGTGGACTGCTGCAAAAGAAAAAACAAAACAGAATACACAAAATTCTTCCACCTAAGACTGTCTTAGAAACACTACTCAGTGAAGAAAGGGTGACTAATAAATGGTTTGAGACAACTGTACAACCCTCCATCCACAATAAATAAATAGGGTTGTGGTTCTTATTGCTTAATCACAATAGATAAAATAAAATATAGATACAGATAAAAGGAAATAAAAAGAATCAAGATGTGATATGTACATGTACTAATTAACAATCCCCCATGATGTATGTATTCATTTGTATCACAAACGTATGCTAAAAGGGGGGAAAAAAACAACAAAAATAAAGAAACTCAACTCTACCTCCTAAAATAAATTTCCTCCTACAGTAAAAGAAATTTCAGATAAGATTA